TGCATTGTAGGAGCCCAGCCGTGGATAGAACAGAGAAGACCAGCCAGTGATGAAAGCAAAACAAAAGATCTTTCGATGAAGTGCCCAATATTGCTTGTGCCTTCGATTCTTGAGGGGGTGCCTTTATTTAGCAGCTCACATGACTCCTACATACTAGATCTGGCCACAGAAGTCGACTCTCAATGCACCATCTCCTCCTCTTCGTCTAGCTCTAGTCCAACTTTGTCAATGGGGTTTTAATTTATCCTCTATAAACCATAGAGTCCGATTTTGACCTACTCGAAACCGGGAAAGAGTTCTTCAAGATTTTTAGGGGGGGTGGGACGAGGGGGACAAAGTAGAACTGGTACTCGAGTCCTTGACATCCAATCTCCAAGCTTCCGAAGTTCCTGGTGTTGAACTCTGTCGACTCGGGGAGGTACACGTACCGTCGTTGCTGAACATGTGCTGCCAAATCCATATTGGTGGTTTCCACGTCCATTCTTCTTCTCCAGCCTCACTTCTTCCTCTAAAAAATGACCACAGCTCCTTCTCCTTTGCTATCTTCCCTTCCTCGCCTCGTTTGATCAGCGTGTCCAGGCGGGCCGCAAGTGAGATGATCAATCTGGACCAAACCTTTGAGATAGTTGCTCGAGCTGAGGGGTCCGTGTCATCGAATAGTTTGGCGCAGCGAGCCTTCCATATCTCTGCTAGTGTGCATCCCCGAAACGCATTGAAGAGCTCCTGGTGGAGATGCTTAATGTGTGTCCAAGTTTGGTTGAGTTGATCAAAGTGTGGGGCCTCGTTGTGTCTCCACTTCTATGCATCAAGATTCTTTATTTTTCCCTGGATGAAGCTACCCCAGAGCACTGATTCGTATGTGATTGCAGCTCCTCTGGTTGACGTTTGTTTGAGTACCGTTGCTGCACCTTCCCATACTTCTTGTGCTGCTGGACATTCCCATAAGATGTGTCACTGTGTTTCTATGGTGCCACAAGTCTTGCAGGCTGTGTTCGGGAGATGTATGGCCGCCAGAGAGGGAAGATGTTCTTGTTGGGCCAGCCACATGAAGTAGCGGTTCTTAGCTGACCAGTGTCCCTTCCAGATCTTGTTGATGCAATGTGAGTGGTTCCTGGAGTGGATCTGTTGGGCCTTTGCTTTCTGGATGAGGGAGGATTGAGTCAGCACCCTGATCAGTTTTCGGCCCAGCTTGGTCTTGTACTGGAAGAAGTCCTTGCACATGGTTCCTCTCCAATGCCACTCTGTGGGATCCCACTTGAGTTCATCCAGGGTTTGTTGGTGGAACCAGTAGAGGCGAGCATATTGTTTTTCTGGGATCAATGGATTAACGTTGGCAGTTTTTTTCTCCATTTGAATCACTCTGATCGGTTTAGCTCTGCTTATATCGGGGAGGTCCTAGTACTCAAGGGTGACAATGGGGTATAAGCATCCAGCCTGTCCTGCCTCAAAGATTAGTCCCAATGCCATATTGGGGAGGGCACATACAATCGACTTGTCCACCTTCCACCATTGATGGTATTGGTCTTCTTGCAGGTTTAGTCGTTTAAGGCATGTGTGTTTGGCTGCTAAAAAGGCTGTCTGGAATTTACGCATCCTGTGTTCCGAGATGGTTAATCTGTAGAAGGCACTGATTTGGTCATAGTTGTTGGCCGTCTGGTTGGGCTGGATCATGGTGTCTGCCTCTGCAAAGGTTCTCATCCTTGCTCTGTGTAGGTCTCTACATGTTTGGTCCAGGCCGCGATCCTCTGAAGCTCTGAGCATTTTACCTTTGACAGCGAAGAGTTTGCTCAAGAAAATTGGCTGCTGGTCCAGTTGTTCTTTGGTACGAGGTGGTTTACGTTCCAGCTTGCATTTGAATTGACTCCAGAGCTTGAACAGCTTTCCTGAGAACATGTGAGCCTTTGTCATTTTGAGTTTGGTGTCCAAGAAAAGCCATTGTTCATCTGTTGCCCAGTTTTTTCTGGTGTGCTCGTTCTTGTCTAGGAGGACTTTTAAAAGTTATGCTCACAGGAGTGTTCTCCAGGGTTGGTTGCCAGGCATGAGCATCCTCGTGAAAATCTTGAAGAGGAGAGCCTTGCATTGTTCTTCGATGTCAATAATATTGAGGCCCCCTTCGTGCTTCGGAAGTGTTCTTGACCGCCAGTTAACCTTTGCTCCACCACGTGAGATGCAGGAGGAGCCTTTCCAGACATAGGTTCAAATGAGTTGGTTCATTTCCTGGATCGTTCGCCTGTCCATGTTCCAGCATGCTGCCAGGAACCAGATTGCTCCAAGCAAGATGCTGTTTGCCACCACGCAGCATGCTGAGAATGATAGTTTTCTGCTCACCCAGAACTTGAGTTGATCCCTTAGTTTTGTAACTGCTTTTTGGTTCTGAGGTTCTGGATCATATTGGCGTCCGACTTGGAATCCAATGTAGCGGGTGGTCTCCTCCGTGTCAAGCCATTTGAAACCCAGCTCCGTGCCCCATGTTGGAGTCTAGTCTGACTTTGTCAATGGGGTTTTAATTAATTTATCCTCTATAAAAACATAGAGTCCGATTTCGACCTACTCAAAACCGGGAAAGAGCTCTTCAAGATTTTAGGGGGGGTGGGACGAGGGGGACAAAGTAGAACTGGTACTCGAGTCCATGACTTTCGATCTCCAAGCTTCCGAAGTTCCTGGTGTTGAACTCTGTCGACTCGGGGAGGTTCTAGTCCGACTTTGTCAATGGGGTTTTAATTAATTTATCCTCTATAAACCATAGAGTCCGATTTCGACCTGCTCGAAACCGGGAAAGAGCTCTTCAGGATTTTTAGGGGGGGTGGGACGAGGGGGACAAAGTAGAACTGGTACTCAAGTCCATGACGTCCGATTTCCAAGCTTCCGAAGTTCCTAGTGTTGAACTCTATCGACTCGGGGAGGTACACGTACCGTTGTTCCTAAACATGTGCTGCCAAATCCATATTGGAGGTTTCCACATCCATTCTTCTTCTCCAGCCTCGCTTCTTCCTCTAAAAAACGGCCACAGCTCCTTCTCCTTCGCTATCTTCCCTTCCTCGCCTCGTTTGATCAGTGTGTCCAGGCGGGCCGCAAGTGAGACGATCAATTTGGACCAAACCTTTGAGATAGTTGCTCGAGCCAAGGGGTCCATGTCATTGAACAGCTTGGCACAGCGAGCCTTCCATATCTCTGCTAGTGTGCATCCCCGAAGTGCATCGAAGAGCTCCTGGTGGAGATGCTTAATGTGTGTCCAGGTTTGGTTGAGTTGATCAAAGTGTGGGGCCTCGTTGTGTCTCCACTTCCATGCATCAGGATTCTTTATTTTTCCCTGGATGAAGCTACCCCAGAGCGCTGATTCATAGGTGATTGCAGCTCCTCCAGTTGATGTTCGTTTGAGTACCGCTACTACACCTTCCCATACTTCCTGTGCTGCCGGACATTCCCATAAGATGTGTCGCTGTGTTTCTGTGGCGCTACAGGTCTTGCAGGCTGTGTTCGGGAGATGTATGGCCACCATAGAGGGAAGACGTTCTTGTTGGGCCAGCCACACGAAGTAGCAGTTCTTAGCCGACTAGCGCCCCTTCCAGATCTTGTTGATGCAATGTGGGTGGTTCCTGGAGTGGATCTGTTGGGCCTTTGCTTTCCAGATGAGGGAGGTTCGAGTCGAGTTTTCGGCCCAGCTTGGTCTCGTACTAGAAGAAGTCCTTACACGTGGTTCCTCTCCAATGCCACTCTGCGGGATCCTACTTGAGTTCTTCCAGGGTTTGTTGGCGGAACCAGTAGAGGCGAGCATATTGTTTTTCCGGGATCAATGGATCAACATTGGTAGTTTTTTTCTCCATTTGAATCACTCTGATCGGTTTAGCTCTACTCATATCAGGGAGGTCCTCGTACTCAGGGGTGATGATGGGGTACAAACGTCCAGCCTGTCCTGCCTCAAGGATTAGTCCCGATGCCATGTTGGGGAGGGCGCAGACAATCGACTCATCCACCTTCCACCATCGATGGTATTGGTCTTCTTGCAGGTTTAGTCGTTCAAGGCATGCGTGTTTGGCTGCTAAAAATGCTGTCTGGAATTTACACATCCTGTGTTCCGAGATGGTTAATCCATAGAAGACCCTGATTCGGTCACAGTTGTTGGCCGTCTAGTTGGGCTGGATCATGGTGTTTGCCTTTGCGAAGGTTCTCATCCCCGCTCTGTGCAAGTCTCTGCATGTCTGGTCCAGGCCGTGATCCTCTGAAGCTTCGAGCATTTTACCTTTGACAGCGAAGAGTTTGCTCAGGAAAACTAGCTGCTGGTCCAGTTGTTCTTTGGTACAAGGTGGTTTACATTCCAGCTTGCATTTGAATTGCCTCCAGAGCTTGAACAGCTTTCTTGAGAATGTGTGAGCCTTTGTCATTTTGAGTTTGGTGTCTGAGAAGAGCCATTGTTCATTTGTTGCCCAGTTTTGTCTGGTGTGCTCATTCCTGTCCGGGAGGACTTTCAACAGTTGTGCTCGCAGCAGTATTCTTCATGGTTGGTTGCTAGGCATGAGCATCCTCGTGAAAATCTTAAAGAGGAGAGCCTTGCATTGTTCTTTGATGTCAATAATACTGAGGCCCCCTTCATGCTTCGGAAGTGTTACTGACTGCCAGTTGACCTTTGTTCCCCCTCGTGAGACACAGGAGGACCCTTTCCAGACGTAGGTTCAAATGAGTTGGTTCATTTCCTGGATCGTTTGCCTGTCCATGTTCCAGCATGCTGCCAGGAACCAGATTGCTCCAAGCAGGATGCTGTTTGCCACCACGCAACGTGCCGAGAATGATAGGTTTCTACTCGCCCAGAACTTGAGTTGATCCCTTAGTTTTGTAACTGCTTTTTGGTTCTGAGGTTCTGGATTATACTGGCATCCGACTTGGAGACCAAGGTAGCGGGTGGTCTCCTTTGTGTCCAGCCATTGGAAACCCAGCTCCGTGCCCCATGTAGGAGGTCTGCCAGGGGGGAGCCTTAGTCCTACCGTTTTGTGCCAGTTTATTTTTTATCCCATGGCCTCATTGAAGAAGTCCAGGTCCTTTTCGACGTTTGAGAGGTTCTCAGGTGATCCCTCCATGATCAGGCTTGTGTCATCTGCAAAGGCTGATGATAGGAGGTCCTCCTTTGAGGCTTCGTTCATGTCCCGGAGAGCGGAGCCACAGCCTGGAAGGGGCATACCTTTCGGGCCCTCTGGTCGGGCGAGGTAGTAGGCCAGAGCATCCGCAACGAACAGGAATAGGTATAGTGCGAGGGGGCAGCCTTGGTGGACCGATCTTTCAAGTTTGAAGGGCTGTCCCATGGTTTTGTTGATTGTAACCTTGCTCGATGGCGAGTGGTACAGGGACGCTGTCCATTCCACGAACTGCAGAAGGACTCCTTGCTTGATCATTATGGCCTAGAGAACTTTCCAATCCACCTGGTCGTAAGCTTTTTCAAAGTCCAGGAGAATGATTGCAATCTGCTCGGCCATGTCTTTGGTGTGTCCTTGTGCCAAAAGGACTGTTAGGAGGTTGTCCACAATTTGCCTGCCATCCACGAATCTGTTCTGTATCTCCTTGATCGTTTCGCAGGGGCTTGAGGCGTGATGCCAAGGCTTTTGCTACGATCTTGTACATGGTGTTCAGCATAGAGATGGGCCTCTAGTTCTTGAGGTGGGACATATCTCCTTTTTTTGGTATCAGCGCAATGATCCCATCCGTAGCTCCTTCCGGCCACTTCCTGGTTCACATGGTTTCTTGCCACATCTTGAGAACTTCTGGTCCAATCCATTCCCAGTTTTGTTTATAGAAAGCTGGTGGCATGCCATCCTCCCCTGGCATCTTGTCGTCCTTGAGGTCATCCAGGGCGTCCTTTAATTCTCGCAACGTGAAAGGTCTCATTAGTCTGGTGTTCATTGCCGGGGTGTACTTGGTCGGGATATGCTCTAGCACTTGTTCAAGTTTCTCTTGCCTGACCTTGTCCCATGGTTCCTCCTTGAAAAGCTGGGAGTAGTAGTGTTTTGCCATGTTGTGCATGTCGTTGATCTCTGTGTGCAGTTGCCCTTGTTCATCCTTCAATCCGAACATTGGTGGGGAGACCACTTTAGATCTTATGGATCAATAGAACTCCCTATTCAGCGCAAGCTCGCTTGCATGCCATCTGATGTGTCCTGCTTTTAGGAAGGGTTCCATCTTGTCAGCCTCTATCCTTTCCAGTTGGCGCTTAACTTGGATTTTTTGAGCTTGTAGCCACGGGTCATCTGGGTTATTGCAAAGGTCTGTGTTAATCGAGGTTAGGACTCTCCAGACCTTTTGGATTGTGTTAAAGACACCTCTCTTATCTTTCTGGATCTTGGTTCAAGCCTCCTGAGCGAGTTGAAGGGTGAAGGAGTGTAGGTCCCCCTTGTGTTTTTTCCATTTCTCATGCGCCCGGTTATTGTTGGCTTGCTCCTCAAAGAACTTCTTGGGTGTGGCAACTGGCTTCCTTGGGCCTCTCGATTTTTGAAAGGGAAGTGTGAGTCTAATTGGATGGTGGTCCGAGAAGTCCGTGTAGGTGTTGTTGATGTCCAACTTTCCCCCTTGCATGCACAGGTCCATGGTGAGGTAGAAGCGGTCCAGACGATGTTGTATGCCTCTGCGTTGACGTTCTTGCCATGTGAAGCACAGTTCATGTGTCACGAAACCTGGGATCTCATAAGTGTCGCAGGTTCCAATTTGTAAGAGGAACGAGTTCCATGCAAGGCGTTCCGCACGTGTACATCTATCCTGGATTATGCCTCCCCGTTTATCCTCCTCGTGGTCCACGAAGTTGAAATCACCGGCCAGGATCCAATCATCGATTCCAGTTGGAAGACGACGCTGCAGAATTCGGAAGAAGTGTGCTCGTGAGGTGGAGCGGGATGCTGGGGCGTAGATGTTCAGTAGGCCTATGGTTCGGGCATTTACTTTTATCACTATCATGTGAGCACGTCCAGTGATTAGGATGTGGTGCGAGGTGCCTAGGGATTGCCATGGTCCTTTAGCGATGATGAGGGTTCCTCCTCGCCGCAAATTGGTCCTTTCTCAACATAAAAGATAATGTTTTGCCAAGCTTACCACAACCACTGGCAACCTTGATTGCCAATGATGTTGTCCTTGGCTATGGTATCTATAACTATACATCTAGGGCCAAAGTTACACCACCAATGGCCCATAGCAAGCACAGCCATGGTGGCACAAGGTCTTGGCCATGGCTAGCACTACCTTGGCTGGCCTTAGCCGTGGCATAGCCATCTACTAGAGGAGCTAGAGGAGAGCTGTTGTAGGAGGAGTGCTAGAGGAGTTGGAGGAGAGCTGTTGCAGGAGAAGTGTTGGAGGAGCTGGAGAGCTGTTATAGGAGGAGTGCTGGAGGAGCTGGAGGAGACTCAATGCACAAGGGGTTTTGGAGGAGCTAAAGGGTGAGAAAGAATGATTTGATGAAAATAAAAAAGAAATTGAAAAATCCAAGAGTAGGATTGGCAAAAGTACAATGTGGAAGAGAGTTGTTGCAGGAAGAGCACTACAGGACATGGAGGAGAGTTGCTACAGGAAGAGTGTTGGAGGGAGGAGATATGTTGCATTGGAGGAAAGTAAGAGCCACTAGAGGAGTTGGGCACTAGAGGAAAATAAAAGTTGCTAGGTGGAGAGTTGGGCATTATACACAATACCATCTACACTAACTAACCTAACCGAACTCAAATAGATATAATTTTCTGTATTGCACTATGCAACAACGTTTGGTTTGCTTTGATATTGTCATTTTCTATATAAATAAAAAATTTATATAATGTACTCATTTTAATGCATTTTTTTATTCATATATAATTTAGAATTTTAGTACTTCTTGTTTATCTCTCAAAGAGTTCAACTAATGTTTTTGTATCAATTTTATTCTTCCTATATCAAGCTTAAAGCAAGAATATAAGGAAGAAGTCCTACACTCTTGCAATACTAAAATCTTGCAAACTTTCCTTTAAGAACATTATTACTAGTCAAAAAGTTCACTTTTTTTTAGTAGTCTGATGTGTTTGTCTTTATAGCATGTCCATAAAGAGAAAACAAAGAACTTTTTACTTGCTCCTCATAGTAGAGTATCACAGTGATAAAAGAAGTTTGAGCTTCTTCTCCATGCCATGGGCAACAATATAATCAAGTGGCTGTAGTGATTGATGCAAAAGTTCTCCTGGTTCTTGCTTGTTAGGCTGGCATGGCTAAGACACTGATAAAGGTAAGTTCTGCAAAGAAATAAGGTTTTGCTGGATTGTCCTTACTGGGCTTACAGTTAGATCATGGGTGATCAAGAGCTCACAGTTTTGCACAAGATTTGATCAAACATGTTTCTTGCTTGACCTAGGATCCTTGATCTGCCATGGGTGGTGATCAATGCATTCACAAAAGATGCCGGAATGAAATCCAACAGCTTAAGCACTTTCAAAAGACACCCATTCTAGCCATTTGCAGTGATCATTGCATTCCAAGAGACCAAGGTCCTCTTGCTCAAAACTTCCTGCTATGCTCATGATCACATTTCCAAGATTGAGTTCCATGTTTCTAGAATTCTTGTGTGAATCGTCACTTCTTTTTCATACTGCACAGGTCACAAATCACCCAAGAAATCACCTCATGGAGGCTGCAACACTCAATAGTTCTAGGACTGGCAGACAAGCCCTGTCCCATGGACAGCCACTGCTCCTTACGTGGGGAATGTGCACATTACAGAGGTTCGTTTCTGTTTTCAAGTCTGTCTTTTAACTCCTCAAATGTCTTGATCATTATGAAGAAGAGAACCCATTGAGAAAATACAGTGTTGGGCAGACTGTTCAAGCTAAAATCCTTTCAAAACGCAAAACCAGCAGAAAGCACAGAAATGCTGCCACTTTGGATTTATCTCTACGTCCATCTGAGCTTGCAGGTCTATATGGTGGCCCTTTGAATTAGCTTACTTATCATGACTTGCAGGAAACGATGCTGCATGCTTAGTGATTACTGCGTAACCATTGAACAGTCGATTATCAGATACAAAGGACAACTGGGCATGGCTAGTCCTCTCACCCCATCTTAAAGGCTGCCTTTTTTCGGAGCTTGAACGTTTTAAAGAGCGCTTCAAAGTCGGTAACCCGTTCCAGTGCCATATAAGAAGTGTTAACCACGAAAGGAAGCAAGTGGATTTGTCTCTACACCTGAAAACAAGTGACGAACAATTCAAGAAAGGCGACCTGTTAGGCCGACGAATCACACGAGTTTTTGCTGGTGTTGGCGGACATACTGTGCAAGGCAGATGGGAAAGTTTCGGAAAAGTTCATGTAACGATACATGGATTGATGACCCAGCCAGTTTATTTACAGAGGGACAGTTCGTAAGGTCTTGGATTTAAAACGACCAGGGAGGGGAAAGATGAGCTTGGAACTTTCAGTAAGTTGGTGGACGTGGTAGTTTTGAGTCCCTTCCGAGCTATCAAACACTTGAAAGGTAACTTCCGAGATTTGCATTAAATTTTTTTGACTCTGCATCCAATGCTCGTATTGTCAATTCCGTGTTGGAACTTAAGCAAGATATGAAGTGCAAGTAAGCAGAAACCTTGCATGCTGTGGACGTGACTTGTTTTTGTGTTGCAGGGTTTTGTCAAGAATGTGACGGAGAAAGGCTGTTTTGTGGTCCTGGCACCTTCACTTGAAGCTAGAATTCAACTGAAGAACCTATCGAACTCGTTTGTACAAAACCCTGCAGAAATGTTTCCACCAGGCAAGGTGATATCGGGAAGGTATGAACTTTTCTCCGTATGGAAGTGTTTGCTGATATCTTCTTCTTCATCAGAATTTTAAGCATCGAGCCATTGTCTGGGCACATTGAAATGTCTTTGGCGGCAACAACATCACAAGATTCAAGTGGCTGGAAGAAGTTTGGTGCTGGAGAGATCGTTAGTGACTGCATACACAACATTGAAGCATTTGGGATCTTCATCAGTCTTGCCAAGAGTGATGTGGAAAGCTCTCTCTCTATCTTGGTTTCAAGTTCTTAGTCTGTGCTCCAGGTTGCTTGTGTCATGTCGCTGAAGTGTCTTACGATTTTATTCAAGACTTGTCAACACTTTACAAAGTCGGCCAATGGGTTCAAGTAAAGATTCTAAAGGTGAGAACGAAAGCTTTAGTAAAACCACAGGGTTATGATTTCCCTCTACAGGTTGATGCAGAAACCAAACGTATATCTCTTGGAATGAAAGCGTCATATCTGACCCCTGAGGATGGCATTGAGCCGATGGAGGAAGAAGCTATAAATGAAGAGCCTTCAAACACAAATGTGCTCATGGATAATGATGCGAGGGTGGAGGAGGACTACTTGGATCTGGGATCAAAACGATTCCCACAGCTATGCATGTCGATCCACTCTCAACAAA